TGCATTTACTCACTGTTCTGTACCAGCCCTTAATTACATATTGAGTAAAACCCTGATCCTGAAAAGCTGAGTCTAATATGGCAGGTAAAGTCACAATACCACCATGATGTAGTAAATGCTTTAATACAGGCATGTGCGAGGTATGGTGATGGCACAAAGGGCTGTTCATCTGAGGACTTTTGGGAGGTCAAGGGAACAGCTGATGTGACTAGAGCAGAGGGAATTCAGGGAGATAAAGCCAGACTGGTGGTTGGTCCAGATCGCAGAGCTTTTTAAGCCAGCAATGGGAAGCCACTGAAGGATATTTAATAGAGAAAAGTTTGTATAATTATTCAAAGATCCCTCCCTCTGTAAGCTCCATGAGGACGGGACCATTTGCCTCTCACGGTGGTCATCCCAGAGCTTGACACATAGTAGCACTTCATTTGTTCAATGAGAGAAAAGCTGATGAAATTTGCATTTCTAAGAGAACACTGACGGCACTAGGAACATAATTGAGACTGAAAGCAGGAGACCAGAGATGCTTGGATTGGACTGCACAGGAAATCAAGAGGGCTTGAACTGAGCAGTAGCAATGAAGAGGGAATGAGGAGTGGATACACAGCAAGTATTTGAGGACTGGCTGGAACAAGGCGTGAAGTGGAAGAGTTTGGGAAGAAATCAAGAAATGATTTCCTGACACCCGGCTTCATTAATTCATTTGAAAGACATCAACTACTAAATACAGAAAGTCAAATAAGACATTGATAGGGTATTGGTGAAGATATATGATTAAGTCAAATATTATGATACTGTATGAAAAGCACCATGTATGACAGGTACATACTGGAGCACAGAGGAGGGACAGGGGCTTCTAAATTAGTGGGGCAGCAGGGAATACTTCCTGGAGAGTATGGTCATTGAGTTTTGAAAGACGATATGCATTATCTTACGAAGTTAACGTTTAGGACATGCCAAATATTAGTTATCAGAATGGGAAATGTAACAAATCTAATAGCCAAATCATACATAGCTTCAGAGACAAAGCCAAAACCAGAACCTGCAAAGCCAGAACCTGCATTCCGACTCCCAGGCATTGATATATTTTCACTTTATGATGCTTGCTATTAATCGCATGTTCAATAGATCGGGAAGGCCTAATGAAATGGCTGGTATTAGTTCAGCATCCTCCTATATAATAAAAGCCTAATATTCTAAGTGTCTGATTGTCTGGTCGTCCATTCAACCAATCAAAGCATAATATGCTAATGTATGCTAAGGCCGCTCAACAGCTCGCTATGACATGCACTGGCCACCAGGGGGTAGATGCTCCAACTGGTAGGTTAGCTTGCTGCTGGGGTCCGGCCAATCATGACTGAGCAAGACAGGCCAGATGCTCTGGAGCCCTCCCGCGGGCCTTCCCTGGCTGGCCAACCTCCTGTTTCTCTCTACAGCCCCATCGTGCACTGATGGGGTCCCTCAGCCTGGCCGGCACCCTCTTGCAATCCGGGACCCCTTGGGGGATGTCAGAGAGCCAGTTTCGGCCTGATCCCACAGGCCAGGCCCAGGGACCCCACTGGTGCACGAATTTGTGCACTGGGCCTCTAGTCTACACTAATAAAAGAGAAAAATGGTAATTGGCGTACGATGCTACCCTTTTCATTGGCTAATCAGGGCTATATGCAAATTAACTGCCAACTAAGATTGGCAGTTAACTGCCAACAAGATGGTGGTTAAGTTGCATATGTAGGCACAATGCAGGGAGGTGAAAGGGAAAGCAGGAAGAAGCCCCCTGCCACTGACAGTGATTAGAAACCCAGGGAGGAGCTGGGGCCGCCTTTGCCCTGCCCCCCGGCCATGATCAGAGAATCAGGTGTCTTT